GAAGCTATTAAAACAAAATTTACCAAGGATACATCATAAATCTTCACTCCGTCTACAGCTATTTCTCTTACAACGTTTATCCTTCGGTTGCCTTAAGGTAGAGGGAATGCTAAATGTCTCGTTAAATACACAAAGATCTCCAAGGTATGTGATATCTCTCATGATCAAGAGAGCAAACCACTGAGAATGCATGTCAACTGGTATGTAAGACCTCTCAACACCACAAGCCCCACACTGCATGAAAGCTGACTTTCAGGAAAAGTAGAGATCACATGCATTAAAGGCAGAATTCCAGGGCAATATTGGCTCTTGGCGTGTGGCTCCAGATTTAGAACAGTCTCATATTGAGAGTCATCCATCCTTGGGAACTGTCCATTAATGCTTACATATTTAAAGCATGTCGTGGGGAGAATGAGGGCTTTAGAGTGAAAATTAGTCTTCTCCCCCTGGTCTGCCATCTAGTCAGTGTTCATTCTGTAGACTGCAGAATTTCTACCATTCATCATTGGCTCCTTTTTTTGGGTTAGGTCCCAGAACACTGGAATACACTCCCAAAAGGGCTCCTCTCTTCCAGTTCCTCCTGCTCCAACCCATTCTATACACTGTTGGGAGAATGATATCATGTACAATTTCTCAACTAAAGTACCTTAAAAAGGTTTCCCATTGCCCATAGACTAAGTTATCAGCACACATGTTCCTTATAATCCTCACACTACCTCCCCAAATTATTTCTCACTAGTCTCCTTATATTTCCTCCAAATTCCTATGTCTAAACCTTACTTACTTTTTACTGCTCTCTGCTTTAAAAAGGTGTATAATGATGATAAATTGCAATTTAGACCTGTCGTAGGATATTTTATTTGATCAGAAATAATTAATTATCAAGTAGGGTCAAATTTGATTCTAATTATTCTGATGGTTTGAAGTAGCTGGAATGGCTATAGCATAAAATATGTAAATATGTGACACAAAACCTGTAAACATGAAACACACACATATGCTCACGCTTTTAAAACCACCTTTTTCTATGGCGGAAGATAGACTGGTAGGGAGAAATACAGTTCTCTACCTTTATACAATAGGTGATTGCATTATTGTTGTGTCATAATATCTACTTTTGTTTTATAAACTAATCAGACTCAAATGCACAAAGTGAACTGCTATTTAAAAGCCATCGGTGGCAAAATTTTTGCACATTAGAAACCCTATGATGTATGTGTTTTGTAGATTGAGACTGCCATATATTGGGCTTACTTATAGTGGGAAAAAGTGGGTGCCATCATCCTTACACATGTATGCTCCATCCTTATGGAGAAAGAGCTTCCAGACCAATTTTTAAAAGTAGAGAAAAAATTAACCAGACTTTCTGAGGAAGTGAGTTTTAACTCACCTGAGGGCTACACCACATCCAAACATTGAAGGAACCCCAGCAGAAAGTTGCTTGTCCTGCATGTTCCTCCAGGAATCTGAGAAAGGCGGCCAGTGGACCTCCTAGTAGCATGGTAGAAGTGTGGCCACATGGAGTGGTCAGTTTGCCAGAGGATTTATGGCACATCTCAGGTCAAACTCCTACTTCTCAGCTGGGCAACGGGGTTCTAAGGAATCCACTCCACAAGGTTCAGTTTATAGAGAGGTGAAGTGTCTATGGGTCCTTATTTCCCTCTAAAATTAGAAATAATTCAAGTTTCACAGATGCCAAATTTTCTCAAAAGACCTTCAGATTCAATATGAATCTTCACTGTCCTAAGTATAACTAGCACAGATTGGGAGCTCACTGGGTGCCAGCACAGGCTTTACGTGAATTCTCTCTTTTAATCCCCACGAAAACTAATTTATTAATAGCATTTCACAAATGGAAAATTTGAGGCATGGAGAGGTTAAGTAACCAGACTAAGCTTGCAAAGCTATCGAATCTGGCAATGTCCCTCCAGAGTCTGTGGGCTTCACCGCTGCGTTATAGCCTCTCCCTATATGCCTGAGAACCTTACGTTAGAACAAAGAAACAGCTGTGACACATTCTGTTCAGTAGTTTGCAAAACGCTCTAACTTACATCTTCCCCTTTTGCTTCTACGAGGACAGTAGCTGAGGATCACAGACACTGACGTGAGGTTTAGAGACGTTAGTGGTTGCCCAAGCTCATGTATCTACTAGATAACGGGGCTAGAGCTTGAAACAGAATCTTGTAATGAACTCAGAACTCGTGGCTTCATAAGATTCAGAAAAAGTTCCAAGGGGACTATGCAGAAACGTGTGGAAGTTAGGGGAGATAGGCAAAATATCCTGTAACTAGATCAGGGCAGTTTTAGTAAGTTTCGATACATCTATGACACAGAACCTGAATAAATGGCCACATTGAAAATCCGTTTTTGGTTCTTTTATGCCTAACACAATTGAGGTCATATAGATATCTGTTTTCTGCTCTCTTCCTCTCTCCCCGTGTGCGTGTGTGCAAGTAAAACATATCAGCTCATCTATAAATTATTTTTTTGGGGGGGGGGTGAGGAAGATTGGCCCTGAGCTAACATCTGTTGCCAATCCTCCTCTTTTTGCTGAGGAAAACTGGCAATGAGCTAATATCTGTGCCCATCTTTCTCTATTTTGTATGTGGGACACTGCCACAGCATTGCTTCATGAGCTGTATATAGGACGCACCCAAGATCGAAACACACGAACCCTGTGCTCCTGGAATCAGAACGTGTGAACTCAACCACTATGCCACTGGGCCAGCCCCTCATCTATCAATTTTTTAATTACCACAACAAGTTTAGTTAACATCCATCATATTGATTTTTAGTTTAACCAAAAACTTGATGGATTTATACACTCAATTTATTCAGATTTTCTTTTCTTTTTTTTGCTGAGGAAGATTCGCCCAGAATTAACATGTGTTGCCAATCTTCCTCTTTTTTCTTGAGGAAGATTCACCCAGAACTAACATCTGTGCCAGTCTTCCTCTATTTTGTATGTGGGTTACTGCCCCAGCTTGGCTGCTGAGGAGTAGTATAGGTCCACACCCGGGAACCAAACCCAGGCCACTGAAGCGGAGCATGCTGAACTTAACCACAAGGCCACAGGGCTGGTCCCAGAAAATATTTTCTGAGATTCACACATTTGCCTGGCTGTTTCCTAAGCACTGGAAATCTAAAAGAGAATGAAGTCACTGCCCAGACAGGAGGAGACTGCTATGTAAACAAGCAGGGCCATCATCAAGGGCCATAACAGCTCTAGGAAATGTCAGCTTAAACTAGCTTCTCCAGGCTGCAGAACTCACCCCCTGGGGGACAGGAAAACTTTCCAAGCAGTAGCAGAGAAGACAAGTATCAGGAGGCCGATCAATTTCCAGGTTCTCAACCCTTAACTGTTTCCCAAGCGTTGCCTGCAGGAAAACATCCCAGGAGGAAGCATCGTGCCTTTCTCTTTTCCCACCTCCCCTTTCACAATGGCCCTTCTCCCTCTTGACAAAAGAAAAGTTTTTCTTTCATTCACTTCAAATTGTCCAGCAAGCTGCTAAAACCACCAGGGCATAAAGAAATGGATAGTTCAGATTATTGTGTTAGTAAAACCTCCTCTCATTCAGTCACCGTCAACCCACTGTCAGGCTTCATGTCTTTGTCTTATTACTATTTCTCTCCCATTCAGGGTAGAGTATGGCATTCGAAAGGGGAAGTTTTGGTGTGCATTGCAATAGTCTGTATTCAGACTAGGTTAAATATGGAAGCAGCAAGAGCAAGGACAAATTTTGTTTAAAGACCTCATCACTTCCATACCCCAACTCTGGTCTATAAGTTGTCAGGGCCAGTGAGGAACATTAAAGACGGCAGGCCCTTATTTCATCCAGGTGACAGATACGTGGCATGGCTCTGTGCCTTCTCTCCTTATTAAAACTAGAGTATTTCAGGTTCATAAAAAGCATGCTGGACTGACAGATATACAAGGTGTGCCCTTGGCATTTTTACCAGAGAAAGCTTTGATGGACTCTCTCATCCCGTCCATCTCTCTGTTGCATGCGTACTTGGAACGATCTCACAGAGGAGGCAATGAGTGCCATGTTTACTTCTGAGAGAGAGTGGCATGTGTTAGAGAAAAAGGGACACACCAGAGAGAAGTAAGTATTTTATATTTTCTTGAACATATATCAACACTCACAAGAAAAGCATTTTCATTAACTTTTTCTGAAAGATTACTGTAATCCAAAATGCTTCGTTTTCCTTTGGTGCATATCTTATGTTCATTGTCAATCATCAACTACTTCTCATTTTTTCCTATTTACCATGTACTTATTAAAATTAGTTTCTCTTATTGGGGGTATGCTGTGGATTCTAAAGTAAATAATGTACTTAACAATCATGAATAAAACTTAATACATCTGCCTTGGCCACGGCCCACTGCCCTTTCTTTTTGCTGTTAATTTCCTCAAAATAGATTAACGAAAGCAGAGCAGCTACTTATGTACTGGTGTAAAACAAAATGTTCTCTAAAGCAAACCAGGATATAATACTCTGGATTTTAAAAAACAAATCTCATTTAATTAGGATTACTTTCTCCCTCTCAGAAGTTGATATGTGATTCTATTTCTGTAAAAAGCAAAGTTAGAAGCTTAATTGTTTCCAAACATGAAATGAAATTTCTAATCTTTCTATCTAGAATCTTCCGATGTCTGTTTCTCTTTCCATCTGTCATTCCTTTTTAGCGTACTTCAAGATGACCTAGAGACTTTCCACACTGCTTCTTGTGCATACCAAGGACAATGGAAGTGCAAATGAGGGAGAGGGGAAGGTTAGGAAGGGAGAGGTAAAGAGAGAATGCCGACAGGCAGCTCCAGAACATGCAGAACCCCACAGACTGAGCTCAGGAGTCAGCACTTTGAGCTGAGTAGTTTCAAAGTGGAGTGTGTGCACCTGGGATGTGCAACAGAGACCACCGAGGCGTCAGAGCATTGATTATATTTGTTTTCTCTAACATGAAGGAAAAAATGCAATCGTGCTTATATTGAACTCACATGGATTGACATGGGCACCCTCTGCCCAGTCTGTCAGATGGTCACACTATCACAACCGTTAAGCAGTGTCCTGAAGGGAGGAAGGGGTTGCTCCACTGTTCGGAGGGGTCACCTGTGCAGCCTCGCACTTCGCTCTCTTTCAGTTGGCTGTGATTGTGGCAATTTCTGTGAGGCTGGTTAAGGAGATATACAGATTATGTCAGCCACTGTTAATTGTCAATCCTTGTAGAAGGGACAACTGGCTTTAAAAGATTTCTGCAAACAAAACAAACAGAAACAAAAAATTAAAAGCATAAAACCAGAATAAAGAAAATATTAGTAATATAAAAACAACAAAATAACAAAAACAAGACAGATAATATTTTTCCAATTCTCATGACAAATTCTCTATTATTCATATTCTGAGATAAAAATATCAATGATTTAATCAGAACTGATAAGCAGTGGGCCACAAAATTTTGGTATCATCAAGAAGACTGTTGAAAAGGGAATTATGTCTACTGTCATTAATGATTGCTTGGCCCTTGTGTATACTGGGCCTTTAGCCAAGGATGGTACAAGAAAACAACCATAATTAGGAAGATATTTTAAAATGCTAATTATTTCATGTTTCTCTCATCTTTTTCTTATTTTTATGTATGACATTATATATTAGGTTATTTGCATAAATAACTAAGTAGACATACGTTAGGCTTCTGTGCTATTTGTGTTAACATCGCTATATAACCAACCACCCCAAAACTTTGTGGCTTAAAACAACAATGTATGATTTTCTCTCAAGTCTGTAGATTGTCTGGACTCAGCAGGGTTTTAACCCGGGGCTTCTCATGTGGTTTCAATCAGTCATCTAAAGGCTTGTCAGGGCTGGATATTCAAGATAGCCACTCACATGGCTGGCAGTTGATGCTGGATATTGACTAAGAGCTCATCTGGGACTGTTGACTAGTGACTCTGCACATGCCCTCTCCATGGGGTGTGGGTTTCTTAGAGCATTGTGGCTGGGTTGCAAGTGGAGGAGTCCCAAGAGCCTTCCAGAAGAAGGGTGCAGAAGATGCCAGGCCAGTTAAAGTACCTGTCTAGAGTTGGAACAGCATCACTTCTACATTTCTGCCATATTCTATTGCTGAAAACACTCACAGGGCCCACCCAGATTCAAATGGGTGGGGAAAATAAACTCCACCTTGTGATGGGAGTGAGCAGAAGAGCATGTGCAATGGAAGATAATGTTGTGGCCATCTTTGGAAAATACAATCTGCCACACATGCTAACATTTTTACTAATGGGGTATACAGTCATGAAATTTGGAGCCATTGGAATGAGTCAGAATTGTAGGTAAGATCACAGACCTTGTGGTCAAACTGACTTGACCGGCAGCTGTTTGATCTTGGGAAATTTAGCTAACCTCTCTGAAAATGGATAAAATAGATTCTATGGTGGGGTGGCAGAGACTCTTGAGTATTAGATACGAAAATAGGTACCCAAAGTGCCCAGAATATCATAATTGGCTGGACCAGTAGCAGATATTATTATGGTTTTGTGTTGGGGAGTGAATGATTTAGAAAAAGATTTTCACAGAGAGCACTCTGATGACAGTATGGAAGCTGTATCAGATAAGGGAGGAGGTGGAAGATCCAGAAAGGAGCCGGGGGACCACCTGGGAGACTGCTGCCAGGAGAGAGAAGCAGCAATGAAGGAGAGAAGCAGGTGGGGAACAGAAATGTGCAGGCAGAAGTCTCAGTGTGACTTGGTGACTTATTAAATGGAAGGGAAAAACCTAGAGCATGCTTTTGTGATTGGCCTTTTGTAGACTATAAGTAAATGTTATTAAGGACCTGTGCCCATAAAATCATAAAGTCCTGATGAAAAGTTGTGTGAAAGTCACGTTTTGTAAATCAACTCACTTTACTGGTAAAAAAATTACTGTTCAAAGGAGAAAACATGACACTGAAGATGTCATGACCATTAAATTTAAAGTTAGTTAAAATTTAAAATTACAGTGGCCACTTTGGGTATCCTTTGAGCTTCCAAAACTTGTCTTTTTGTACACTAGATTTGAGAACCACAGACCAGACAGATTAATGTAATCTTAAATTTCTAAAGAATGAAGTGTGCCACTTTCTGGCACACCTGCTTAAAAATTATGGTTTTGGAAGCTGTAAATATTTACAAAGAACAGCAAAATCTTACTAAGCTTGTTTCATGTCCTGAGAGCTTGGCTTGGTAACCATCAGTTAGGGGTCCCAAAATATGGCAGGAGAGAAATGTTGGTTACACCCCATTTGTGGCCAGATATGGCTAGACAGAAATGTGGGCTGAACTCCATTTGTGGCTAGGGTCCTACCAACTGCTACCAGCCCTCAGGGGAATTACATTGGCTATTAGAAGGAACGTTCCAATTAGATAAGATCATTTAAGAAGTGTACTTAAAAGCAAAGGCTTCAAAATAGCCTTATTGAAATTTTCGTTGGAAAATCTAATGAAAAATTAAGATATGAGAGGTACCTAAAAGGAGAGACTATACAAAACTCTGTTAAGTTAATGCCTGTACAGACACCCCCATATCTACCTTCAAAAGAGGGCCCTATATGAGCCTCTCCGAGAGGTAATGAGACTCTGAAAAGTTTTCTGGTAAACTGCTAAATTATTCTCTTAAGCAGGCAAGGGGAAATTAAAATTAAAAATTAATGAAGTTGTTTAATACTGCCAGAAATACTTACTGTTTGTCCCGGCTGAAGCCTAACAAGATACTTGAAAGGATTTAGTAACTTATGATCAGAAATTTGGCCAAAATTGGAAGCTGATATTCAGAGGCAAAAGAAGCAAATTAGGGATGATGTAATTGGACAGGTAGCTCAACCTCTGATATCATTTAAGTTACAATGCAATTTCTGAGGAATTGAGAGAAACTGCCTTATCTTACAAATCTTTGCAAAACTGGAAATGCATCTCTAGAAACCATTCAAATTCCACCCATTGTCTTCCACCAATCCCCAAAACCTGCCTCATTTACCTCAAAAAGCTTGTAACCTCTCTGGGAACTGTTATCCAGATGTTCACCAATTCCTAAGACTGAAAGAAAAAAAATCAAAAAGAGGCAAATGGCTATAGAAGCACCATTGCCCCAAATCTAGCATCTTAAGTGTCTTCTCCACAAATATTAGTAGAAAAAAACTTTAGCCATCTAAATGGGTAACCTTAATTTATTCCACCTGCCAGAAACAAAATTTGGATCCAACTATTCTTTCATAACTAGTAAGCTTTGTATTACTGTACCTGATTCATAGCACCAATTTTAAAACAATAGCTATGGGATCTCTATGTATGTGTGTGTATATGTATATGTTATAAATATGTGATATTTTTGTACCTCTGGATGGTATAATTTCTAAAAGAGCTCTATTTAACTGGCTTAAAGTAAGTGCTTATGTAAATTACTTCTAAATATAATATAAACTAAGCCAAATGTTTTTCAGTTAACATGGTGTAAAACTTTTGCTCTACCTAGGTTAAGCAAAAAAAAAAAAAAAAACAAAAACAAATTCATGTTGTCTCTGTTAAAAAAATTTGAAAGCAAAAAAATTGATGGTTAACTTTGTCTAATGTCTCATGAAGGTGATCTAAACATAATTATTGGGAACAAGTGAACTAAATAGATGTAAGGAAGATTAAATGGTTTTTAGGTGAACTTTTTAACAATAATTGTGTTATGGTATATGTACTTAAAAATAGCTTTCACAATCCTTTCTGTAACTTAAAAACCTTATAGTTTTGCTAAATTAAGTTAAATGATAAAATTTTTTTTGAGTATCTAGACCATTTCCAGATAAGATAAAATATTAGACATCAATTACTAAAACATAGGTTTATCTATTTTTGACTTCTTATAACAGAAAACTAAAAAATGTTTGAGTCTATTAGTAAATATGTCTTTTACCACATTAAAAAAATTTTATGCTATGAGAAAATGCATGTTTTCAGTAAATGAAGATATAAGGAATGGATATGTTTTTGTTAAGAAAGTAAATTTGTCCTAAAGTAAAAGTGATTATAGGAAATAGGAAAGAACAAATTCCAGATGTAAAAAAATAAAGTTATAGAAGGTTTGCAGAAGAGGAACACTGAGAAAAGAGTTTCACGCATGGTCAAGTTGGCTAAGATTGAAATGAACTTAATAAGTAAGTGAGTTTTTGTATCAAAAGTAAGATGTGCAAAATTAGAATTTGGGGGGCTGGCCCAGAGGTGCAGGGGTTAAGTGCGCACGTTCCACTTCGGTGGCCTGGGGTTTGCCAGTTGGGATCCCAGGTGTGGACATGGCACCGCTTGTCAAGCCATGCTGTGGTAGGCATCCCACATATAAAGTAGAGGAAGATGGGCATGGATGTTAGCTCAGGGCCAGGCTTCCTCAGCAAAAAGAGGAGGATTGGCAGCAGATGTTAGCTCAGGGCTAATCTCCCTCAAAAAAAAAAATTAGAATTTGGTTTTCTCTCTCTTAAAGGACAGTTTTCTTGGACTTTTACTCTGTCCTTTTTTTTTTTTTTTTTTTGAGGAAGATTAGCCCTGAGCTAACTACTGCCAATCCTCCTCTTTTTGCTGAGGAAGACTGGCCCTGAGCTAATATCCATGCCCATCTTCCTCTACTTTATACATGGGACGCCTACCACAGCATGGATTTTACTAAGCGGTGCCATGTTTGCACCTAGGACCTGAACTGATGAACCCCAGGCCTCCGAGAAGCAGAATGTGCACACTGAACTGCTGCACCACCAGGCGGCCCCCTTCTCTGTTCTTAATAAAGAGATTGTGGAAGGTTTTTTTTCTTTACCTTTGAGTAGTGTACCAAAAAGGCAGGGATTTTATGTTTTATCAAAGTAATTCCCTATGTTCAGAAAGCTGATGGGGCCAGCCTAGTGGTGTAGTGGTTAAGTTCATGTGCTCCATTTTGGTGGCCCAGGGTTCATGGGTTCAGATCCTGGGTGCAGACCTACACATCACTCATCAAGCCATACTGTGGTGGCATCCCACATAAAAAACAGAGGAAGATGGGCACAGATGTTAGCTCAGGAACAGTCTTCCTCACACACAAACAAAAAAGTTTTTTTTTAAAAAAAGCTGAGGCCTCTCTATTAAGAGTACTAAGGGGTTTGTGGGGGGTTTGTTTTTTCAACGGTTTAACTCTCTGTGTATGCTTTTAACATCTTCCATTGTCATTTTGGTTAAATGGATAACTAAGCATTGTTTCACAGTGGCTTATGACCCTATTTGATCAAGTGTTTTAAAACATTTTGATAGTTTTGACAAATTTCCTAAAATCAAATTCTAAATGAAGTCTTTTTGACCTGGAAATAACTGACATTTTCCAGAGGGCCCTAGAACACCTCACCTCAAGAAAATTTGTTCTCTTCCTATAAAAAGGGAAATATTAAACTAATTAGGCTTATTTGGTATGTAAAATCTCATGGGAAGCATTGTCAAATAAATGATGATAAACTTTCTTAGGTTCTATTGTGTGGGTCAATGTTATTAATATAAGTGTTCTAAAAATTATATAAAATTCTGATATGTCTTGGGATAATGTTATCAGTCATAATTCTAGTCACTATCTTAAAAATGTGTGTCATAAAAATAACCGTTTCTTTGTTAATTGCATTATGATGTTAAGTCTTTTGTCATCTATAGATAGTTATTGTTTTACCCTGATGCTTTTGCAAAAATGTTCCATCTTCAGAGAGATTCATGGAAAGGATTCTGACACTTACTCTAGAATACACTTTTCTAATAAACTTTCAGATCATCAAACTGAACTGGGTAAGACATGACACAACTCTACCTGATTTTCTCCTCTCTTTCTTAGAAAGACAATATTCTTATCTACATCTCCCAATCTCTTACAAAATAGAAAAAATCTTTCTAACTCTTGGGTTTGTCATCAGAAGCCTCATCCTGTACATGAATCTAGAGAATTATGTAGGACATTTAATTAACAATCTCTCCACCATTTTCCCCCTAATTCCTTGTGCTAAGTGTCTAGAACTTCTTGCCTAACCAATCAAACCTCCAGAGATTTAAGAGGTAACATTTATAACTGTTGTAAATATCTCTTGTTTTACTTGGGTAAACACCTCTGGCAAGGTAGAGACAGCACTAGACAGAATCCAGGCACAAGCTGAATGGTTACAGGCAGTGCCTACTGACATCCTGTGGTTCTTGGATCTCTTTAGCTGACTGCCCCAGGCATTGCCTCCCAGTTTAGGTCTATTCTCCAATTTGGATACAGCATTTTGTTTGTTATTATAGGAATTCTCATTGTTATAAAACCTTGTCTCCTCTGCATAGCTCATGTTATAAAAACACCATTCAGATAATGGGCACTCAGCACTTTGAAATGATTACTAAGGCTTGTGAAACTTCATGGAACTGCAGAAGATGTTTACCCTGACATGAACTTGATGGTAGAAGCTTCCTCTGCTCTAGCAGTCTTGTTGCTCAAACGTGGCCTAAAGGCTCCTAAGAAAACTGCTTTCTTTCCTATGTGGGACACGACATACCAGGAATGAGCCTTCCTGGCAATGAGGGGCCAACAATGCTTTGATGGCGGATCAGCAATACTTTCCAGTGTTTGACAGTGATGCTTTCAGAGAAAGATCTTGATCAAAAGGGGAAAATGTGAAAGATGACATGAGTAGAGCCATAAAATAGAGCTAGAGCAGCCATTTCAGAGGAATTGCCTTGTTTTCTTTATCTTCCAAACTGGACTAAACCACCAACACTCCAGTAAGTCAATAAGGACAATAACATCCTGTTTGTAAGGACTGATGAGATTGGACTTTGCTGATGACTGAATTGCTAACCAATTACTGAAGGACAAGTCTAGCCTTTGGGCTGATGACTGAAACTCAAGTCAATCCATGAATTACACACCTAGCCTTGCCTTATCTAGTACCAATGAACTCTTCTTTAATACAATTTACCTCATCTTCCTCCCTTTTCTCCATAAAAACTCTGAGCCCCTCTCCTATAATCGGGACACTTTCTGGTTTCTACCTGAATTTGTGCTCCCCAGATGTAGTCCTTTGACCCCAAATAAATGTTTTGCCTCTTAAACTGGTTTCTGTTTTTGTAGGCTGACAGTTACTTGGGGTTGAATTGTGTCCCCCAAAAGATATGTTGAAGTCCCAAATCCCAGTCCCTGTGAATGTGATCTTATTTGGAAATAGGGTCTCTGCAGATGTAATCAAGTTAAAATGAGGTCAAACTGAATTAGGAGGAGCCCTTAATCCAATATGGCTGGTGTCTTTTGAGGAGGAAACAGATACACAAAGGGGGACACCTGTGATCTCCCTTTAGTGACTGAACTGCTTCTGGGGCAAGTCAAGACCCACCTGGGGTTACCAGAAGCTGGAAGAGGCAAGGAAGGAGTCTCCCCTCCCCACAGGTTTCAAAGGAAGCATAGCCTTGCCCACATCTAGCCTCCAGAACTGCCAGAGAATGTTTCTGTGGTTTGAAACCACCCAGTTTATGGTACTTTGTTACAGCAGTCCGAAGAAACTGATACAATAACTATCAACATACCGCAGAGAATTGCTCATTTTACTTGGTTGAAGGGGAACTGGCATTAAATAAGCCCAACTGAGGATTCTTTTGTCAAGATTTCTTTGTGGCTTTCCTTCCCAGAGTCATAACATGGGGATTCTCAGGGTAGGCAGGAGCTGTGCCTCATCCATCTTTATCTTCCTAAGGCCAACCAGAAAGCGTGTAAATAATAGGTGTGAAGTTTGTTTTATGAACCAAACTGAGCTTTGTATTTTACAGAGTTTACATTTAAAAAAAAAACACTTGAAATGCCAAATGTTCATTTTTGAGGTCTCTCCTCATATATTATTGTTCTGATCATTAATACACCTAATCCAAGGGCTATATATAAGTGAAAAACAATCATGATTTTTTTAAAATTATGTAAACAGAAATATAATAATAGCTAACATTTATTAAGCAATTATGAGATGCTAAGTACTGCTGAGTGCTTTATACACAGCTTCATGTTGGATCTCATCACTGCCTTATTACCTACTCTGAGTTTTAAATGTGAGACTCCAAAGAAGTTAGTAATTTGCCAAAACTCATAGAATTGATAAGTGATCGAGCCAGGTACCAGCTCTCAACTATGAGCAAACATATGACGATGCCCAAACCTGCGCTACACCAGAGCCACACGCGGCTATTTAAATGTAAATGAAAATTAATTACGATTAAGCAAAATGAACAGTTCAGTTCCTTACACACGCTAACCACATTTCAAATGCTCAATAGCCACATGTGGCTTGGTGCAGACACAGACCATTTCCATCATCACAGAATGTTCTGTTGGAAAGCACTTAACAGTCATAATACATTGAAAGCCCATATGGTGGCTGGTTAAAGGAAGAGAAGGATGGGGGAAGGACGAGAACAAAGGAAAAGGAAAGAGAAAGACTCAGGCTGAGGGAGAGCCATTCGGTGGAGAAAGGAGCCTATATCTATGGATAGAGCGGGCTCTGGGGACTTTTTTAATCTATTATATTGTAAGCTTTGGTGGTTAAAATTCCAAAGTATATTAAATATATATTTTTACAAAAATCAGAGAGCTGCGATTGAACAGGTCGTTGTTAGTTCTCAGCTGTGTGCCTGGCAATGGGTGAGGGCAGATCGCCAAGTGAACAAAATAGGTACAATTTCCCATCATAAAAGTTAGAGCAATATTAACCAAATAATTAGAATAAAGCATGACGGTTACTTTGAAGTGGAAAGAATTCTATGTAAATAAACAGCAGAGGGACCCACCATAGCCTAGATAGGATCCAGGGTTGTCTCCCCGAGGAAGTGATGTGTAAACGGAGAAAGGATGGATGAGAGAGCCTGGCAATGGCGCGGAGGGTTTCAGGGGAGGGCCAGCTGTGAGAAGGCCTGACGTCACAAGGAAGGACTGCAATAAGTGAAATGTGTGGCTGGAGAGAGGGAGAGAAGCAAAAGGAGAGCTGGAGAGTCAGGGGGAGGGGCCAGAATATGGGATGGGTCGGGGAGCTTGCTAAAATCTTTTGTCATAAGGATGATGTAAAGCCTTCAAGATTTTTCAGCCAAGAAGAGAGGGGTTCAGATCTGCATTTCGAGACGATTTCTCTGGCTGCCATGCTAAGAATGGCTTAAAGGGAAGCAAGGCTGGAGGCAGAGAGGCTTCTGGAAAGCTCTTTACTACTTGGAGAGCTGTAGTATGACTGGAGAAATGGCGACTGTCAGGATATTTGCAGCTAGAATGGACAGACATTGGTGATCATGCGGTTGTGTCTGAAGGACCACCCTTCTGTTTCTAGCTAGGCAACTGCATAGAGGAGGGGTCAGCAACCTGCATATCCACTCTGTGCTGTTTTTGTAAATACAGTCTTATGGGAACACGGCCATGCTCATTCTTTTACATAGTATCTACGGCTGCTTTTGTGATACAGTGTCAGATCTGAGTAGTTGCAGCAGAGAACACACGGCCCTCAAAGCCTAAAATATTTACACTCTGGCCCTTTAAGAAAATGTTTGCCAACTAGGATAAATGATCATTATCTACATTTATTGAGAGATTAAGACTTACCAGGCAAGATTCTAAGTAATTTACATTTGTTACATAGGTTATTATAACCTATCCCAATTGGCAAACATGAAGTGTTGCTGTTGTCCCATTTTGCAGATGAGAAAGCTGAGGCACAGATATGACCTTCTCATTCACACCCGTAGCTTCAGTTACCATCTGTGTGCTAGTAACTCATCAAATGTTTATTTCTAATCCAGAGCTCTCATTTTAGCTTCAGATAGGCATATCTCTAACAGCCAGTTTCAGAAGCACCTCGAGACTCAATGTGTCACAAACTAGATGCCTGCTTGTCCCCTCAAACCACATCATTTTTCAGTGTTCTATTTTTCTTGGTGAATATCACCAACCAGAGGAGCAAGCCAGAATACAAGGAGTCCTCTTTGGCACCTGTCTCTTCCTTATTCCTTCTCATATCCTATCATCTAAAGATTGCAGCAATCTGGCCGCTTCTCTCCATCTGTATCACCTACCACCCGCCAAGTCCGACTTATTAATGGGGTCATCTCATACGTGGATTCTGTAATAAATCCTCATAAATCCATTCCTTTCTACCCGGGCCCTTCTCCAGTCTCCAAACTGCAGCAGAGTGCCCTTCCATCCTGTCACCCCTCCACCCTCATTCCCTACCTAATCCTTTCAAATGTTTTTCCTGTTCTTAGGATTCCATGGGCCTTTTCACTGTGTTTTTACATTGTTTCATTTTTTTTTAAAGATTTTATTTTTCCTTTTTCTCCCAAAGCCCCCCAGTACATAGATGTGTATTTTTAGTTGTGGGTCCTTCTAGTTGTGGCATGTGGGATGCTGCCTCAGCATGGCTTGAAGAGCGGTGCCATGTCCACGCCCAGGATTCAAACTGGTGAAACCCTGGGCCGCTGAAGCAGAGGGCTCGAACTTAACCACCTGGCCACGGGCCGGCCCCCTGTTTTTGAATTATTTTACAGATAAATGATAGATATGCAGAATAATTCTTGTCTGTAGACAGGTAAATAAATTCTGAAGATCAGGATTCAGTTCTCTCCCGTACTGTGGAAGAAGCCAGTTTTATGTCCATTTGCAAATTCATTGCACTATTCCTGACCCAGAAATGTGTCTGTTCTTTGAACCAGTTTTAACATTTGCCTGGTAACTTCCTTAAATGAGTTAAATAAACTCTACAATACAAGTTCATTTTATATCCATAGGACAGCCATGCTTTTACTTTTTGGGGGAAGCTTATCCTTTAACTCTCTCTTTAAGACACTACATCGTTGGCTGGTTGCCCACCCTCACAGTCTCACCCTGGCCCCAGCTCTCTCCTCTTGTCTCTTCTCCAGCCCCTGGCTCTCTTTTAGTCCCCTGTAAGCACCACATTCCTTCCCTTCTCAGAGATGTCCTCTGACCCTGGAACTCACTTTCATCCTGGATGTTCTTCATCCCTTCCTCCTTTAGCAAATTTTTTTATCCTCCAGATCTCTGCTCAAGGATCTCTTGCTGGAAAGCCCTTCCAGGCCTTTCTGAGTTAGTTACATGCCATTACTAGAGGCTCTTAAAGCACACGGAGCACTTGTTACATTGCAATTTTACATTTGTAGGATTAATTAACACTTTTTAACACAAGTAACATTTTTCTATCTGGCTGGAGGCAATGCAGGATAATAGGATGGAGGTATGCTGACATTGCATCTCCAGCATGTAGCCCAGCCCAGTGCCTTCACAAATGTCACATACAGAATAATACATAATAAATAGTTTAGATAGATATTTGACTATAAGCACTTACTGCTCAGGAGAGAAGTGAACTGAAAAAAATAAATATTTGGGTGTCTTCAGCATATAGGTGCAGCCATGAAAATGTACAGGAAGCAAAACCATTGGGTTGAGCAAAACAAACTATTAGGAATCTTGTTTAGGTAGAATAATTGGACAGACGTCAAATTATAGTCACTTGAAGGGGGTGGAAATAGAAGCAGTTAATACAGATGGCATTTTCACACAGTTTGGCTCTGAAAGAGAGGAAAGGAGCAGGTGACACTGTGGTCATTCTTTAATAACACCATTCTTGTATTATATATGCTTTCTTGACTGAAAAGGGAGGATTTACCGGTAACGTTTAAAATAGCAAGAAAACTGGAGTTGTGAGAGGCTACTTTTAAAACCATAAAAGGTTTGTATGACTGTCTGGTGTAGACAGCCTTTCGAACAGAAAGTTTCTAATTCTTCAACTAAGGGTTTCTAATTCTTAACTTTGGGCAAGGGTCTCAAACTCAAACTAGCACCTCTAGAGTTTACTTAGTCTGTCTTTTTTTTTTCTTCAATTTTACAATTTGATTTTAAATTTCTTTAAAAAGAGTCTGAGTTGCCAGCGACACTGGCCTCTCTTTGATGGCCTGTGACACGTCTGGACTGTATGTCTGGAGATTTAGGACTCCACCCCAGTATAAGAGGCTTTTCTATGCCTTGTATGCAGGGGAGGGAGGAAGTGAGAAGTGAATGTTGTTTTCTGAGTTGATAAGATTAGAGCTATATTGTCTTTAGGGCCGTATGAAATCAAGGCTAAAACCAGACCAGATTTAACCGCTCTTATCCAGCATAAACCGCCCTTCCCCTTTTCCAAGATCCAGCCAGCCCAAGTCTCCTCTTCCTATTAACTTGAAAGCGGAGAAGGCTCATATTTAGGCTGACATTGCCCCGGGAGATCACGCCAGCAGAGACAATAGCTCTTCCAATCTTCCTTTTCCCTTCCTAACCTGGGTAGTAGTTCAAACGTCCCCTTCCCAGCGCTCTTTCTAAATATTGCTATCACAGGCCTACATCATAAAACTGTCGAAAGAGTTCCATTGGGAGATCTTGATGGTCTGTTTTTGCCTGAAAATGATGAATGGCTGCGTCTAAGTGCCATCGAGGTCTTTGAGCAGAAATAGCTCTCAGGGAATGTGAGCCTGGTAGCCCCTCAATACCCAGAGTTACAAATCCGACTTGGGGAGATGGCGCAAAGAAATCTAAAACCCAGACTCGCGATCTTCCCCTTCAGTTTGCACGTGGGGGTCGGTGGCAGACAAGAGCCCATGAAGCACTGCCAATCCCGGCTGCAAACTGTCCGCGGGCAGAAACTGCCGTTTGTCGGTTTGTCGGCGGAAGATCTACCCTAATGTAAATTGATTTCCCCGAGGTTGCTTTCGCTAACCCGGAGGGGCGTTTCCGGGCCCAGGGGTTGTTTGCTAAATAAGGATGCTCGCGAAGTGCCTGCGCTGGGAAAGGCGCTCGCTCGTGGCGCGCACTCTCGTGCCCCAGCCCGAGCCTGGCTGGCACGACTAGGGCTTTGATTTTCCCGACTGAAGAACGAGAGGGCCCAGACAGGGTGGAGGCTCCTCCCCCAGAGATGCTGGAGGGGCTACGTGGTTCCCTGCGCCTGGCCCTGGCGCGGGGCCCCGGGCGGTGGCAGCCCGCGCCGCCGCGTCCGTGCCGCCTGCATTCGGGTCCAGCCGTGCGCTGCGTGCCGCCGCCGCTCTCCGCAGCCCCGCGCTCCCGGAGCCTCCCCATGGCCAGCCCGCCCCGCGCCGCCGCGGCCCTCGCCCGCCAGGTACCTCGCCCCCGGGGGTCTGCGGAAGGGGGGGACGGATTGGACCCCAGGTCTCCGAAGCCCTTTGCTGCCGTTTCCTGCACCGTCGTGCTTCGCCCCGCACCGCCGTTCCGTCTCCAGCGAGGCGTCCCCTCTTCCCCTAGCCCTGCCCGAAATCTAGAGTCCCATCCTGCGAACCTCGCCTCGGAGAGGCCCCTGCCGGCCAGGTCTAACGCCCCGCGGGGGACCCGCTCCGGAGCGCGGCGCGGACAGCCATGGGGAGCGGGAGGGTCGCCATGGACGCTGCTTTGGGGGAGGAGGCGGGAGCGGAATTTCTGGGCTCCAGAACCGACGGCCACATCCCGCGTGTCTTCGCCACCCCAAAATATTTTGACCGCAGCATTCTGCCTCTTTGGATCCCTTTCTTCCCTTTCTCTCGTAGCTATTTAGCGGATTAGGCTTTTTTGGTTTTGGGTTTTTTCTTTTTAATCTTTGCACCTTTTTCCAATTCGCCCCGCATCCGTTGTGTCCTCAAGTATCTTTTAAATTATCCCCTAATTCCATGAGGTTTTGTCCTTAATGTGTGAGGTTTGGTGCCCACGCGCCTGCGTCGGAGGACCCTGCCCGTGGAGAAAATGGTTCACTCTCGTCCCCATCCCTTTTCCAGGCTTGCTATTGTGCGCCAGTGATTGACAAGACCACGAGGCTGAGCGCGCCCAGGAGATTTTTCTATAAACGGTTTAAAATCCTAGTCGAGACTATTTACTCGGGACGTAAGGGAGACAATTACTTTCTTGTTCTTTGCTGGTGAGCCCCGGCTCGGTAGGGCGAACCCGGAATTTAACCAGTCTGCCCTAAGCCGGCGGTGGAGGACAAAAACGGCCGCGACCTCAGGCAGGGTAGAAAGTGAAGGGCAGCGCTCCCAGGACTCTCTCTCTGGGCGCTCGCGCCTGGGGCTTGATCCTCCTTTTCCTGTTCGCCTGCGGACGGGAGCGGAGCAGAGGCTGTAATGGTGAGTCATATTGATTCCTCCAGGCCCCGGTTACTCACCTGGTTTTACTTAATGGATTTACTTCTTTTTTAAGGACTGCAATAATGGATGCTCCGCGGAATGCACCGGAGAAACAGGATCAAAAGAGGTGGTGGGGACTTTTAAGGTAAGTTATTTGCCAGAGGTTAAATGAAACAACAGTTCAACCTAATAAATCTATTTCTTGTTGAGATTTGGGGCAATTTTCACTGGTTTATACAGTAGTTTAGATATGCTGCCACGCATTTTAAATTTCACTCTTAGGGGGAAAAAATCATTTGGGGAACAGTCGTAGATTGATCACATCTAAAATTAACTGGCAGTTAATTGCTTATTTTGTTTCATGAATCATAAATTTTTCTTGGAGAATAATCAACTTGTGAATATTCACCTAGAGGTTTATCTGATTGTATAATAAGTATAACCCTTCGCTGTCCTTGTGGAAAGTTAAACTGATGATTTTTCTTTTTAAGCAGCACCTAACATTTCAAAGTAACAGTGTTGTATTTCCTTTTCTGTCTAAATTATGAGATTTATGTAATAAATAATCCCATACTTCACAGAGGAATAGTGAGGAGCAAATGAGAAAGAATCTTCTAAATGTATTTTGAAAATCGTAAAAATACAAACATAAAGTGTTTTGTTATTTTCTCTGTACGTCATTCTCTCCACCTCTCTCCCCACCCCAACCATGGAGGTTTTTGCTTCTCCTCTTTCTGCCTCCTTCTCCTTTCCTGCTGCCAGTTTCAGTCACCGTGAATTGTCATCCATTGCACAGAGTGTCCTAATGATCTCACAGCCTGGCGGGGTTCAGAGAGGGAGTGAAACTTGACTCGTCAATTTCACACCTCCCCAGCTCTTACTATGTGCCCGGGACTGTGCCACGAATTGGGAATTCCAAGATAAATTGAGGAAAAGGTGTCTGCTCTCAGGATTTTTTAAAAACCAGAATATAACAGAATAGAGTAATTTCCTCACTAAAATAAGGTTGTGAATTTTATTTGTCCATAATATTCCTGGTCCTTTAAAGATATCTTCTGTAGCCCTAGAGCTGATCTACTCTGTTCTGCTAGTCTATGAAGACTAAGCTCTAATGAATTTTGAGGATTAATATTGAGATATGGGTCCTAGAAAAAATGAG